TATGTACTGATACTCATGATAACAATTACTTAATTAAAGAATATCAGACACTTATATGTCCGGTATTTTCTCAGTGTGTTTCCTGGACAGAAAGCTCAAATACCGGACTGTTTGGTTCAAAACCGGATACCTGGCAAACCTACCTAAAACTAGCATACAGCACTGAATTACACAATTCCTAGTGTAGACACAGGTATGCCAACAAAAAGTGCTTCAACTAATGTTATTCAAGCAGACGGTGTTCCCCCTCCAACAAAAAAACCTCCTTCTGTCAGTGTATGCTGCCTTTACACTGGGGGAAGGAGGGAGCATGGGGGAATAGGTTCTAGACTTGGGCCTAGTCTACACAACAAAGATGAGGGATATAAGCTGTCTTGTGTCAATTTAGCTTTCCATGTGTCTGCACTAAAATTTGTCTCCCACTAGTGATATCTCTCTATTACACCAACAGAGTAACACCACTTCCTCGAGCACCTTGAGGTTAATGATGTGTGAATATAGACACTTGTATCATTTGTGTCAATTCTAACAGTCCTTCAGCAGCTGTCCCATAACTTCTGACACTGATCACTGTTAAACCAGTATTAAACCTCTGGCCAAGGATTTTTTAATGCAGAAGCTTCCCCTCCCACTCAACCCTACTGTGAAACCATACACAATTTTAAAATGTCTCTTCCAGACATTAACCCAGCTTGGCAAGCACACCTAGCAGTCCTCCAGTGTCATGCATGCCTCACAGCTGCCCATGCCTATTTGAGTCTTCATCATAGTCCAATCAGACCTAGCAAGTAAGCACAGGCAAGACAAATGCAGAGAAAGGAACCTTATATAATAAGTAAATATATTTCCCAGTACTACGATGGTGCCCCCAACTTAGCAGAGCATAACTATTGACTTTTAATTCATTTATTCTACCAGAAGCAGTAGCAGTAGCAGTATAACAAAGAGAAGTAGAGTTGTTATTTGCTTTTGATTCCCCTAAATTTCCTAACGAGTCAGGAGGGGCTTCGGGGATGGCTGGACATGCAGAACAGTTCGTTCATCTACAAAGGGAAATCCTGGATCCCTCAAAAGACCACGATAGAACTTTCATGGAGGTACTCTGCAATCCCCTCCACTAGGTTTCTAGGGACAGCAACCTTACTCCTTACACAACAGGAGGATAGTTTCCCACACCAGCTGGCAATAATAGGCACCATAGCAGCATGGGCTAACAACATATGGAAAGCTTTGGAAGGCTATCAGCTGTTGTGCTCTTTGTCAGTCTGTTACCCTCAGTAGTGAAATATCAGCTAAAATCCCCATCATCTGTGGAAAACAGTGCCTGAATTCAAGCACTACAGTATACCCCTTTGTTTCTGAGCAATTTCTACCTCATTTCCCTTACTATGACTGGAAGTGTGAGTGGTGCCAGGCATAAACATACCAAGGCACAAGTACGTCTTGTTTAAAACTTCAGGGAAGCAAGGGAAAGGAGTGCTGAATTGGAAATTTGCTTTCTGCTGCGACTGTACTGTTAATGGTACCTCTGGGTATGTCTAGACTACATTTTTTTTAATTGCCCTTTCAAAATTAAATTGAAAGAATGCAGGGGTTTTTTTTGACATTGGTAAGCCTCAAATTATGAGGAAGGATGCCTTTTTTGAAACAGCTCTTTTGAAAGAAGGTGTGTGTGGACACAGAACAGAGACATTTTTCGACAGAGGAGCCAATCGAAAAATGCATAGGTTCCCTGGTGGCCATTATGTGAATAGCAATCAACACTTTCTTTCGAGAGAGCGTCCATGCAGTCTGGATGCTCTCTTTTGAAAAAGCAGATCACTTTTTTATCCTGTTTTGATGTGTGGACGCTCTCTTTTGAAAGAAGCTTGCAGTCTAGACATACCCTCAGTGTTTTACCCAGAGCTATCACTATTGTGGCATTGAGGGATTCCCCCTCCATCCCTGAGGAATGCTTGAGCCAGAAAAGTAGGAGATACAGACTTTCAATTACAAGTTCAGTGAGATCCTGCAAGCTACAACTGCATTAGACCATGAACAGAGAACTTGGAGGAGGAATATTGCAGGCTGTATGGAGAAGGAAACTGGGCAGAGAAAGATCCAGGTGTCAGAGTAGGGGGACATACCATGGAGCTTTCCCAGCAGCAAACACAGATGCTTCAGACTCTTATTCAGATTTTCAGACTCAGAAAACCAGGCTTTCCTCCCTCTGAGTCCATGGGGAACTGCAGAATACAGGCAGTCCCCGGGTTACATGGATCCGACTTACATCGGATCCCTACTTACAAATGGGGTGAGGCAACCCTGCACTAGCTGCTTCCCCCCAGCAGACCAGGGAGATGAGAAGCTAGCGCCCCCCCCAGGAGACCAGGGAGTCGTGCTTGAGAATAAAGGCCTGAGGGAAGTGAGGTGTGGGAGAATAAAACTGAGCTCTGGAGAAATGTTTGGCTAGAGTTTCCCCTACAATATGTACCAGTTCCGACTTACATACAAATTCAACTTAAGAACAAACCTACAGTCCCTATCTTGTACGTAACCCGGGGACTGCCTGTAATGTTAATGTAGAGGCCTGTTTATTAGCTAGAGATAGAATTTTGGGTGTGAATGTATGATACTGTGAAATCCTTACACTTAATATGATATCCTTACTAATAAGAACAGAGACACTGGGTTTTTCATTTCCCACAACCAGATGAAGCTTTTAGTACAACAAGAAGAGATAAGAGATGGAGCTTAGTGCTATGGGGTATGGTGAGAGTGCAAAATATGGGCATACACTGCAACACTGTCTGGTTCTTCATTCCAGCCAAGGTCAAGAAGCTAATCAGGAGAGCTAAGGAAGGTGGAGGAGTAGGCATAAAGGATACTAAAAGCCAAAGAAAAGGCTAAACTTGGCCAGTACACAACCTAACTCCCCCCCCCTACCATAGGATACAAAAGAGGAGAGATGAAGACCCCAGACTCATGAACCTCCAAAACAGAACACAACCGTAAGTTGGAAGACGGTGGACTGGGGTGTCCACAGCAGTGTAGTTGGGCCTGCTAAGAAAGAGGAGGAGGGAAGGGAGAAAAGAGACACAAGCAAGGATTTGTGGTGTCAGAGCTAAGAAGTAGTACATAAGGTAAAAGCTCTGTGGCATAAGAGTTCAGCACAGAACATTGGGAAACAGACTCTGTCAGTGTGGAGAGTTGGGATATGCTTGCTTGGAACATGAACAGCACATAGCTTTCTCTCTTCATAACAAGAATTGGAGGAGGGGGTGAACAGAAAGCCCTCTGACACATAGTACCTTCCTCTGCTCACCTATCCTCCCCCAACTCCCAAAAAAATCAGGTGCCAAATTCCTACTGCTGCCACCCCACAACAAGGCCAGAAGTAAAAACTGACTTGTGAGAGCTATGGTTGATGTATGGATACATAAAATGGACATGAATGTCCCTTAAAATCTGTTCCATACATTTATTGAGGTTTTAATGTATTTGCTTTTAACTTGAAAGAATTTTTGAAGTGTTTTTGATACTCAATAAAACCCTATAGTTTGGAAAATGAATCCTTTTTACTGGTTCCAAATGTATGCTGCAGAATGACTAGTGATAACAAAAGCACCTACTATATTTTGACAGCTCATGTGATCAGTGACAAAACACAGTTAATAATCATAAAAGTACATCAAACATCACACAATTATTAAGTACATTGTTAGTTCTTGCTATGCCCCACAGCAATCTTATCCTCCAGGAAATCACTGTACTCTCTGTGGCTTTTAGTTCTGCAAATACCAGAGGACTGTGCACCCTGTGTTTGAAATGCTCATGACAGTCATGCAGATCTCTGCAGCTCCATGATTCTGTCAGATTGTGGACAGGAACAAATTACATGCAAGTTTGTGGAATTTTCAAATGGGCATGAAAATTATGGGATAAAGACCATATGAGATGGATAAAACTACATATTGGGAACTTGACCCTGAAGTCTGTTACCCCTTCACAACACACTTCTGCCCAATCACACATGGCCAGATCTTACCAAAACACAGCATACAGGATGGTGCTGAATTGTTCAGTGATATACCTACACATTACGCACCATCCACATTGTGCATATGGTACATTGTGCATATGCTTCTGTTGGCACTGCAGATACTCGCCAGAAATCCTTGTTTCAATGCACAATGTACCAACTATAGTGGCTTTATGCTAATGTAACATTCATCAGCAAAAGTATGTAATGCAGACATGCCTGTAGCATAAGGCAGTAAATGTAATTAAGTTAACGCAATTTGCTTTGTATGTTAGTGTTAAGGCATAGATTAATTTGAATTTCTTAATCTTATATTTTCACTGTTTGACTAATTATTAATCTCTTTTAGATTGTGCAGAATCCCTATGTTCAAAACAGAGAAGTTTAACTGAGATTTCATTTCCTCATGTAGATGATTCTAACTATTACAAACACATTTGTACTCCAACAGTTCATACATTATATTATATCACACACACACACACACACACACACACACACACACACACACACACACACACTGCATTTGAGTGCACTTCGAACCAGGATAACCATTTAAAAGTTACTCTGCCAAAAAATGGACTTTCTGTAAAACAGTCAATTATAAAGAAAAAAATACAATTTCCCTTTTTGACCATTTTACATGCAGAGTTTGATCAACAAATGTAACAAAATCCTCCTGACAATCTCTACTAATAGACATCAAGAGCTTAAAACGTCTCCAGGATCACCACCTCTAACTCCATTCTCACATATACTAATGCACTAAGACATGTAGAAGAACTGTATGAAAAAAACAATGGGCAGCACTCTTTTAAACCCATTTCATCAAACTCTTGGCAGATTTTCATTTTGATGAAATTTATTTTTTTCCTCTGTTTCTCTTACATGTACTATTTCTTGACATCGTTAAAGCAGTTCAAAGCCATGGCATTAATCAGTTATTTTCACTAGTTAAGAACAGGAGAAATCAATTTACCTGAATGCCATCAAGCAACTTGCTCATGCACCAGTAACTGTCAGCTTCAATGTTCTGCAGCACTTCTTCAGGCAGACTGGAAACATCAAAATTTTCCACTTCTTCTGCTGCAAAAAAAGGGAGAAGGAAAAGGCAAGTCATTGAAGTGTGCAGAAGAAATAAAGCCAGGTTGAGAAAAATAACTAGTAACAAAGACAACCACCTTGTATTCAGAATCTTCAAAAAAGCTTCTCTAATGGGGCCTAAATGCATCATTTATTGTTCAACTATGTCATTTACAGGTTCTAAATGTTAATGAATATTTAATTTGTTGCAGACTGTGAAAATCTTGAATCATGTCAAATTAACTAGAATCCATATATAATAAATTATATATTCTAGACATTTTACACCTGAGAGAGGAGTATCAGCAACAATAAAATAGACCTCTACAATGTATAAACTTTTTTTAAAAACAGATTAATCTGCAGTGTATATAGGTGTGCATGCACACAAACGTTACTTTGTTTCTTTTTTAAAACAAATAACTATCAAAACTATTCTTTCAAGGCATGAATTATCTCTTTTCAGTATTTGTATAGTGCCCCACACTGGGCCCTTATCCCAGACAAGTTCCTTGGCCACCAGTCTACAGATTCCATATCTCTCTGGCCCAATAAAAATTTGATTACTTATAAAAGTGGAAAACTGAAACAATAGGGAGATAGACAGACAAATACTACACCTCTGTTACAAGAATAGTGATAGAGATGTAGCCGTGTTAGTCTGGGGTAGCTGAAGCAAAATGCAGGACAATGTAGCACTTTAAAGACTAACAAGATGGTTTATTAGATGATGAGCTTTCGTGGGCCAGAGAAGTGGGTCTGGCCCACGAAAGCTCATCATCTAATAAACCATCTTGTTAGTCTTTAAAGTGCTACATTGTCCTGCATTTTGCCTCTGTTACAAGGGCGCTCACTTGGTTGTGGGAACCACAGCTCCACTTGATTCAGAGGATGGACTCAAAGCTGGGTCTCCCACAGTGAAGTTTCTTATCCACTGAGCTACTGGTTACTCTGGCGTGTGCGTCTTTCTTTTTCATGAAAATTTTTGAAAATCCTGAACTTTTTCAATATGGAATTTTTGTTTTCCAGACAATCGTTCTGGGATAGGAGCTGCCTACACCAAGATGTATGGTCTAACAAAGAATGAATCTTTGAAAGTTAAGCTGAGAGCAAGAGGCAGACCCTGCTCACAGAAATTGGCAAGAAAAGGGCTGATATTACAGAAACATTCATACCTAAGAAATACTAGGTACAGACCGTGAGTACATTTCAGAGGGGTCATAACAGAACACCTTGTTAAGAAACATCTTGGTGCCAACCCACACCCCACAAATAACATACATACCAATCCAGGTTCAGGACCAGGTCTAAATTGACAGCATGATGGATAGTAATGGAAACCCCCCATTCTATGAGGTAAGGGGTGGTAACTAGCTAACAGATGGTGGCAATCTGATACTTCAGGGGTGATTTGTAACTTGTTTGAACCTGTGTATAAAAAAGTTCACCCCAAAGAGTGGTCGTTGGCTGACTGTGGAGGGACACTAGAATCCAGAGCATTTAGTTGGGTGTTAGTCCATTGTGACATCCTACATATATACAGTGGCGAGTCAGTTTGCTGACAGCTAGTATTGTGCCTCGCTTGGCAATAAGCATCGAAAGCACCAGAGTACGTTTATCTGATTTGTGGTCTCTGAGTCTATCGCATTGACTAATTGCACATGATTAACACATTGGACAGGGAAACAAATGCACACATGCATGCAGCCAAAAGTTTATCATCATTGATGGAGTAGAGGACCTATCAGGAACCCATTGGTATGGCTTCACCTGACAACATCTGTCTTTGCACAGTTGTAAATACCCATTAACTGAGAAGATGAGAATCCACAGTGTAGCATCCTAATACTCTCCCCCACACCTGCAGCAAGTTGTAGCAGCCTAGGTGCTGCTCTAGTTTGTCCCAGTTGGTTGTGAGATCTAAAGAACTATGTGCCATCTTAGGATAGGTTCACAAATTCCACTTGATCCCTACCATGCTTGCTAAAACAGAGGCTGTTGGCAGCAAGACAGCTGTAACTCAGAAATTCGTAGCAGGGAACTCCTGGGCTGTTTCTACTCCCCTTGTAGCCCTTCAGTTTCACAAAGGGAACAAAACGAGATAGACAATCTGACCAAAAGCACTAGTTGTGGTCCTTGATCTTTTTAGAAATAATGTTTGACCCTCATGCTGTCAATGTTGCACATCACTACATCATCCAAGTTAACATGCTAGAGAACAGAAACAATTCTTAGCAGGAGCCGTAACTAAAAGAGTTGTGTGTGTTTGTTTTGCTGTAGCGTGTGAATTTGAACCTTTAAGGAACCCATTTCCATATATTTTGAAATAAAGAAAAAGAAAACTTCTCAAAGATGTGCCATAAAATGTGTCTGTTTCCCTGGCATTACCCATAAGCGAATTGGGCAAGATTTGGTGATATTAGAAGGGGATCATAGGAGATTTTAATATATAATCACCATCGTAATTCATGTTTGTTGTCTTGTTGTAGCTGTGTTCTTCCCAGGATATGAGAGACACAAGCTTTTGAACTCCGCCCACTTCCCTTTCATACTGTCAAATGCTTCATGCTTCCTCTGTATTTCTTCAGAAAAATTCCAGCTCTGATTTCACCTTGCTGTGTTCTCTCCAGTCTGTGTTTTGCTAACAGATAGTCATTCCCCTTGTAGTAGTTGTAGATTCTGAAGTCAGAAAGACCCACTCATCTAGTTGGACTTTCTGTATAATATGGGTTCTATAACTCCCAGTTGAAGAGGGAGTGACTGATGGTGAAGACCACCCGAAGCACTTGTGCCAGTACTTCTCCTGTCTCCTCCACCTGTGCCTGTATCCAGACAGAGAACCTGAGCATGGATGCCTCTACCCAGGTCCTGGTGTGGTCTTGCTGTATTTGTGGCTTGCAATTCCCACTGAGTGATCTCCAGGCTGGGGGAGACAACCATTGTGAAAGGTGCCTGCTGGTGGAATCTCTCAGGCAGCAGGTGGGAGAGCTACAGGAGGAGGTGGCCAGGCTGAGGAGCATTATCTCAGTTTGGGCACCCAAAAATTGCTAGTTAATTTTGAAGGCCTTGGTAGGGACATTTTTGCCTGCTGCAGTAAAACCAAATCCAACTGTTTCCTTGCTCTTCCGCAGTCCCTCCTGTGGTGACTCTGACTCATGAAAGTAATGAGGTTGTTGTGTGCCAGGCATCTGCAGGGAAACCAGCTGGAGAAATCTCATGGGCACAAGGGAGTGGTCACAGCACTGAGAACAAAACTCATCACACCAATGGAACAGTGACCATACTCAGCAGATTATCTCTGATCAATAGCACCAATGCCTATGTGACCTGCTTAGTTACCCATCCAGCCCTGAATCAGACCATAGAACTGTCACCAGGTGAGTACCACGTCTTTTTAACAGGGATCAGCTTTATGGTAATTCCCTGTGCTTCTGTACTTTTGTCAATTCAGACAACTGCCAGTGCAAAAGGTGAGGGCTAGGAAACTTTGTTGAGTAATGTGCTTCCCTGAACCTTTCTGTGGATAAAGCTCTAAAGAAACATTCTATAACAATAGATAAAAGTGGCATTTTCTATCCTCATCTTTCTTTAGAATGTCTAGAGTAATATAGAGGGAAGTTGTTGTAATGGGCCTTGGTGCTCCCCCACAATGCTCTTTCTCCTCCTCCTGTTGTAATCACTGGGGACAGCCACCATGTCTTAGGTAGCCACCAATTTGTCATACTGATCTTTGCAAGTGGGTTTTGAAGTTGAACCCTACGTGATGAATTTTGTCTAAGCCTAATAGAAAGATCAGCTTAGCACAGACCCTTATTACTGGCTCAGCCATGAGACATTTCCTTTGGGCTCACCTGATACAGCTGCTATCTATCGTCACAAGGGTATTTGTCCAATGCTTGAATGTGGCAATATGTAGGATGCAGTCCCACAGCAAATTCAGCCTTCAGAAAGAGGTCACCACTTGCTGTTTGTGTCTCTGTGAATAGGGCTTGCTCAGGAAGGACAGACAGGGAAAAAAGGGAGGAGGGGTTGCCTTGTATATTAAAAATGTACACACTTGGACTGAAGTGGAGATGAACGTAGGAGATAGCTGTGTAGAGAGTCTCTGGGTTAAGCTAAAAGGGGTAAAAAACGAGGGTGATATCATGCTAGGAGTCTACTACAGGCCACCTAGCCAGGTGGAAGAGGTGGATGAGGCCTTTTTTAAACAATTAACAAAACTATCCAAAGCCCAAGATTTGGTGGTGATGGGGGACTTCAACTATCCAGACATATGTTGGGAAACTAACACAGCGGGGCACAGGCTATCCAATAAGTTTCTGGACTGCATTGGAGACAACTTTCTGTTTCAGAAGGTTGAAAAAGCTACCAGAGGAGAAGCTGTTCTGGATTTGGTTTTAACAAATAGGGAGGAACTAGTTGAGAACTTGAAAGTGGAAGACAGTATAGGGGACAGTGATCATGAAATAATAGAGTTCATGATCTTAAGGAAAGGTAGAAGGGAGACCAGCACAATTGAGGTTATGGATTTCAGGAAGGCAGATTTTGATAAGCTCAGAGAACTTGTAGGTAAGGTCCCATGGGAAGCAAGACTGAAGGGAAAAACAACTGAGGAGAGTTGGAAGTATTTCAAAGGGACGTTGTTAAGGGCCCAAAAGCAAACAATTCCGCTGTGTAGGAAAGATAGAAAATATGGCAAAAGACCAGCTTGGCTTAACAAGGAGATCTTGCATGATCTCAAAATAAAAAAGGAGTCATATAAAAAATGGAAACTAGGACAACTAACAAAGGATGAATATAGGCAAGCAACACGGGAATGCAGGGGCAAGATTAGAAAGGCAAAGGCACAAAATGAGATCAAACTAGCTACAGGCATAAAGGGAAACAAGAAGACCTTTTATAAATACATTAAAAGCAAGAGGAAGACCAAGGACAGGGTAGGCCCACTGCTTAGTGAGGAGGGAGAAGCAGTAACAGGGAACTTGGAAATGGCGGAGATGCTC